ATTATTTTTGTTGATCAGCATCTCGTTCTACAGTACTAAAAATTATTTTTATCATTTTGGAGCTTTTACATTCCCCACCCGTGACAACATCTATCATTCCTCGGTGCCTCCGTCGACGCCTGAACGGTGCACACAACCCCATGTGAAAAATATTGAAAGATATATATAACTTTATAAAAATAGCCGTATTATTTATACAATAATAATAATAAATTTTTATCCACTATTGAATATATGATTTTTTTTATTTATTATTTCTAATCAATTTTTTTACAACTTATATAGATAAAAATTTAATACAACTGTTCTTTTAATCGAGTCATTAAAAAAATAATATTTTATTAGAGCAAATCTTCTAAGATGATTTTTTCTAATTTTATTTACCATTAGAACAACTCCAACATTTCAATATTTATCTTTAATTCTGAAACAGTTAATTTAATTTTATTCTCTTTTTTTAATGCAAAAGCCAAAGTATTTATAAAAAAATTAAATTTATTAAATATTATTAATTGTTTTAGTGGGAGAGTAGTGATCTTAAAATTATCAGATCAGCTATATAGTTTCCGATAAATATAACATAATCAAGCCCAAGGATTTTTTTTTTGGAGCAATTCATGGCATGCATGAGCATGACCATTAAAGAATTCCTCTATAAAATGTCAACAGTATGGCGCCACAAGCATTCAATAGTCATCAATTGGCACCGCCAACGATCGCATTCCACTCACAGTGGATGATTCAACTGAAAATTTTCCACTTGCATGTTATTTTCCGGCGGGTAGAGTTGAGAGAGCTCCCTTTGCCGAACAATTCCTACCTTTACTTTTCTTCTTCGTCTTGGTAAATTTCTGACATTCTACAGTTTAGATAGTTTTTTGGTCTTTGTAAAGATTTTGCAATCTGAGGTGGGGCTGATCAGATTTGATGGATGGGAAGAGGCTGGATCTTGATGCGCCTCTACTCTCCTTCCGGCGAAGAACAGTCCAGGCGGACGGTGAAGAGGTAACGCCACCGCCACCTTCGCGGCGGAGGCGGCAGGCTCTTCCTTTCTACAACTCTGACCTGAAGTTGGATCAGGTGGGAATCCCTGGAGCCGTGCCCTTCGATTGGGAGAAGACGCCCGGTCAGCCCAAGAACAGCTCTCTCGCAACGACTACTTTTGAGCTTAATCCAGCGGTCCCCAAGCTTCCTCCTGGTCGAAGCTTGAAGGAGAATGGAACGGATTGGTTGAAAGGTGCTTTGGGGCCTCCGGAGATTGAGACGGTAATTGGAACCCCAACATCTTCGTCTGGTGGCCGGAATGAGAAGGATAAGGTGGAGGATGAGGATGAAAGTTTTTCGACGGTGTGCGGGGACGAAGATGATGCCTTCTCCGACGCTCGGGATGCTTTTTCGTGCGCCGAGTCTTTTTCCATGAAGTGCAGCATGAGTGCCGGTGTCGGTGCTAAGGATTCTCCGAGGAGCTTCACGAAAGATCCACAGGTCAAGGACTTCATGATGGGTCGTTTCCTGCCTGCTGCACAGGCTATGACTGAGGATTCTCCGCAGCGAACTTGGAGAAAGCCGCCCCGGGCTCAAGTGGATGAGGGGGATAATTCTGGTAGCCAAACTTTACGGAGGAGACGGCTTCCTCTAGACTACCAATATCAACTTAGCAGAGCTCAGCTCCATGGTACTGAGCAAGCGGATGAGGAAGAGGAAGAGGAAGTGGAGGAATACGATGATGATTATGGAAGTTATGCAGGCACTGGCTTTTTCTCCTCAAAGGCCTGTGGATTGATTCAGAGGTTTTGCTTGAAGAGCTCCATTGGTCCCTTCAATTCTGTTCCAGGTCTGAAAGCTCAAGGCAGGCCTCAGCCAAGAACCCGCAGTAGTCCTCCTCAGATTAACGTTTTGCGCCATGCTTCTTTGGGACAAGCCGAGGATGAGGTGAATTAGCTTTGTAATAGCTGATTTAATTGGTAATTTAAGCTTGCGAGTGTTCATGCTTATTGTTTGTTGTGGCATGTTTTGTGCTTAGGATTCATGGGAGGCAGTATACAGGTACAAATTGAGTCATGGATATTATCCGCACAGGAGGGATGGGAGCAAGTTGATGACTGAATCCAACCAGCTTACCAGTTGGAGTGATTCCCAAATGCTTGATGGTTCATCATTTCTCAATTCAACTGGCGGTGCTCTATCACCTGACAAACATGAAGATTCAAAGAGAGAATCAGGGAGTTGGAAGACTGGGAGCTCCGATTTATGTGAGAAAGGCTATGGAAGCTATTGGGAAACAACGTATCGTCAGGGCAGGCTTGAAGGGTCAGGTTCCACTAGTCCCGCAACTGAGAGACCTCTTAATCAAAATTCTCTGAGCTTGCCAGAGACTCCAGATTGTAAGTCGCTCTTGGCAAACATTCCTTCAGATGCCAAAGCAGAATTTGAGATTCATCAGACAGAAGAAAGTTCTTTTACTGAAGCTTCTGAAGGATATGCATTGCAGTCAAGATCTTCCAAGATTGCTGAGCCAGGCTTTTCATCATACCGTGAAAGATTAAATGATGTAGAGCTATATGTCAATGAATTTGATAATAATAAAAATAATGATGACCGTTTGACTTTGAAAATGGATCTTATAGAGAAGAATGACAATTCCCTAGCATTGCCTCTGCTTCCTCCTCCATTACCAACATCTCCTTCTGAGTCTTGGCTCCGGCGAACCTTGCCATCTGTGCCACATCAAGCGTCATTTTTGGGTATTCAAATCCATTCTAAGAAACAAGAATCACGGGCGTCAGCTGGTGCTCACAAGTCAGTAACATATGAAAAACCTTCCAACCTACACCCTCGTCGAACAAGATTTGTCGAGGTACGTTTTTCAACTGTGTGGCATTAGTAAACATTTGGAGTAATTTCTTTAACAAGATTTGATTGTTGGCATAACTTCAGGCTGCAAAGGATATGTGACGGTATTCTGGATCATGATCTTGAGAGACCATTTTTATATCCTCATAATTTTTTGCCCTTTACTGCAAAGTGGTGATGTGAAATATGTGCTGTAAAGGTAATGCATTATCTTAGATTTTTACATTTGGGCTTCTATGTTGAAGCAGTTTGAATCACTTTGCTTATGTGTATAGGCAGACTTTCCAATGCCAAATGGCTTCTTTTGCAAACATTTGAGGGATGATGCCTCTTTTTATGAAGTCATACATCCATGGGTCTGTTGTAACATGCGATGTAAATATTCTTGTTGAGATTATTTAGCCTACATGGTAATTAATTTATGAAATAAATTTTCTTATATTATAGCATACTTAAATTTCTTCATTATAGGTGACGCTATTTTTTTTAAAAATAAAAGAATAAACTGATATAAGTATTTGTGTTAGTATTTATTTACTTGTGTGAAGCTTTTATTCGGTTATTTCAATTTTCAGTGATAGTTGATATACATAGATTATTTGTATGCGCTGATCAACTTTCATTCTCGGAAATAATTCTTATATGTTGAAAGGTCATCGGATTAACATGGGTATTGCAAGATAAAGAAAATTTGAGGGCACAGATTTATTGCATATAACGAAATATTTCTTCCATAGATTCTTACACAAGGAAGAAATAGCCCTTGGATTGCTTACTCGGCATCCATCAGCAATCCCTACTAGATCAAATGACGGGGACTAAAGGGTAGGAGAAATTATTCTATGTGGAGTCTGGACGTAGCGGAGCTACGTCTATACTTCAATTAAATCTTGACATGTGGAGTGGACACATAGATATTCAATTGGATTTCATTTTTTATTTATGTCTTGTCTGCCCGACCGACCCGACCTGACCTAGAGATGAAAATTTTGAATTCACAGGAGCTCAAAAGCTCGGAGATAGGTCATTTTATTTTTTATCCCGGCATTTCACTGCTAACTTTTTCTCTCGTTCGATATTCCAGACGCTTCACTGCATTCCTTTGGCATTCCAATGAGTACAAATGTTCATCTCCACGTGCAAACAAGTGAAAGAACTTGATGCGCTATTGATGTGCTTTTGCTGCATATTCACAGGTATTGATATCGTAGTAAGTTCTTCTATTTTAAAAACTAGGTTGTTTTTGTTTGCTTTAAAATTTTTGATTATTTTTGTTCATTTTAGTCTCGTTTTAACTATAATTTAAGTGTGTTTTCACTATGCATTTGCTTTCATGGTATCAATTTGTATAACGATTTATTCAGTTTTCAAAAGTAGGTTGCATAATTTTAAAATATCTGACCACATTTTTTCTTCCTCCAAATCATTCTTCATCTTTATTAGTTCTTCCTCGTTTTTTTCTTTTTTAGCAGATATCAAAAAATTATTAAGCTAAAATCCTATATATTATGGAGTTTTCACAGTTATTTTTATTAAAAAAAAAGCGTCAACCCTAAAACCTAAATTTGAACCAGATGTTGAATATTTGAGTTGGGTTGATCGAGCCGATAAGATAAAAATTAAAACAAAATATAATTTGAATATCCACGTCTTTAAATTATATGTCATTATTTACTTAGAGTTCATATGTAGTGCTATGTTCAGACTCCGCACAAAATAATTTCTCCAAGGGTAGACACCACTAGGAGGCGGACAATAGATAGGAGCTGTTTTTTTTTTTCTTTTTGAATTATTGTAATTATTTATTCTCCTACATTTACCCTTAACAATGTGCTACATTTTTCATATATTGCATTAAATTTTCTAACTATAAAATCACTAAAAAAGTACAAGGTAACTTTTTAACTAATCATTGCATATTTTAGGACTACTGAACGAGGAAGATGATTAGGCAAGTTAAAGAAAATGATGGGTTATACCTTCTTGAAGAAAAAAATTACTTGTCATGTTCATTTATCTCTACTCTCAATTTATAAATCCTATAAGAACATCATTGTAGGCTAGGACATTTCTTTTTTTAAATTTTATAATGTACATTTTCTTCTAATAGTAAAATAGATGGTGGTCTCTATCTATTTTATATGTTTACAAAATTTTTTGACACTGCCATTTATTTTATATTTTATTTTATTTCATATAATGATATTTGCTATGTTTACAAAAATTTTTAATACTGCCATTACCAGGTCCCATGTTCTGGATGATAAAAGTGGAGGATTACGTTAGTTAGTCGACAACCAGCATAAAACTTGTTGAATAATTATGACATGAATTTTTTAAAAAATTATATTAATGCTAGGGCGTACCCTGTAAGCGACGTGTTGCATGGCCTGAATATAGAAACAAGTGTGTAAGGGCCGCTGCACCGACTTTCGGGTGCTGTGTTAAATAGGTAAGAGTTCTCACATTAAGAACGGACGTGGGCAAAGAAGCTAGTCCTTGAAACTAAATTTATGATATAAACTTAAAATATAGGTTCCCTTATAGAAAAATTAATAGAATTAATAAATATTATGATTTATAGGAACATAAATATCTTGTGCATTCAGGAAACTAAATGGGTTGGAGAGGAAGCTAAGGAGATTGATAGTTTAGGTTTTAATCTATGATATTCGGGTAAGAGTCTTACTAGAAATGTTGTAGCTGTGATTATATATAAGAGTTTGAAGGATAATATTTTAAAAATTTAAAGAATTGGTGATAGAATTATAATTTTAAAGATTGTTGTTAATGCTAAGATTTTTAATATTATAAGTGTTTGTACTCCTTAAATAGGTATGAATATAGGTTCAAAATTAAAATTTTTTAATTACTTAGAAGAATTAATACAAAAGATACTTCTTGAAAAAAAGAGTTTTTATTGGAGGAGATTTAAATTAACATTTTGGTAGAGAGGTATATTATTTTAAAAGTGTTCATAATGGCCATAATTTTGGAATGACAAATGAAGGTGGTAAAATCATATTAGATTTTTTATAGCTTATGATTTTTTAATTACTAATATTTTTTTTAAGAAAAGAGATGAGCATCTCATCACTTATAAAAATGAATATAGCAAAACTCAGATGGATTATTTTCTTAGAAGAAATTAGAGCATTTAGATTACAATGATTGTGAAATTATCCTGAGTGAAAATTTATGTACCCAGCATCGATTATTAGTTTTGGATTTTAAGATAAAGGGGCAGAAAATAAAAAATAAAATAAACATTATTTTAGGATTAGATTGGGGCATTTAAAAAATTATAAAAAAAATATTTTTGAGAATAAGATTTTAGATCTTAAAATTTTGTCTGTGCATGAGGATATTAATGTTATGTGGGAAAAAGTGTCTAGTGATATTAAAAATATTGTAAAAGATATGCTTGGAGTATCAAAGGAAAAAGCTCATAATAGTAAAAATATTTCGTGGTAGAATCCAAATGTGCAAGAAAAGAAAAAAAATAGAAGATTTATTTTAAAAATTTTGATAATTAAGAAAGATATAAAAAGACACATAAGAAATTTAGGAAAGCAATATGCATTACAAAGATCTTAGCTTTTAATAATTTAAATAATAGATTAGATACTAAGGAGGGAGAAAGATATATATA